GGCCTGCTGTGTTCATCCAGCTGTACACCTTGTTATCTCATTTGTATCAATTGTTATAGTTTCTCTACCTTCCTCCTGCTCTTCCTCCTGTTCCTTTTGTTCTGCTTCCTCAGCTTGTCACTGCATAGCTAGTAGCAATGATGAGGTTTTACAGATCTCCATAAACGTTGACATCCACTCTCTAAGTCCTGCAGAGCTCCTCCAGAATGCTCTAAACAGCAGAACTGTTGTTTAGCATTCTGATGGTCTGCTCGACCACACTTCACAAGGCAGCATGGTTTTATCGGATGTGTGCTATCCATGTAAGTTTGGCAGATTCACAAATTATGACATTCAAGTGTCATTCAGTAACTCCCACTCCCCCAGCCACCTTTCCTTGTGTTTTAAATGCAGAGGGTACAGGGGGCTGGCAGTGAATGAGGCAGCATTCAGTGATGCTGCCAGGAAAGCAGGCATTTGTAGTGTAAAGGGTTAGATAGTCTACATCATCAGCGGAAGTGATGTAAAATCACAAGACCATTAGGAGATAGTTCACTATAGCAGCATTATTGTGGAGGTTAAGTCTTGCTCTGCATGTAGCTAGTAATTATCATGATTGGATAATAGGCCATGTTTGCTGACACCCAAGGTTTCTACAATCTTTATCAATCCCCTCTCCTGGACCCAACCTAGAATAGTAGATGGTGGCAGCAGGTGAATGCATTTCAGAACAGAACACTATCCAACAAACAAACAACAACAAATGGAGTGCAGCAACTAAGCAGAGAAAACTTGGACAGAGAAATCCATGCTGTTCCAATCCAGGCTGAATAATGGCTGAACTGATTTTGCAGATTTGCAAAGCATTGCAGAATTTCAGGACAAGATACAAAGTGCAGTGAAGAACAACCCTCACTCTTTTGGATGCTGTACAAGATAGTGCAGACAACATTCTAGTCAGACAAGGGATCAATGAGGAAAATGGTTGCATACATCAAAGTATTTAAAGAATTTGATTGATGTCATCTGTATGGCAGGAGGAGGAAGCAATGGCACAAAGATTATCCCATCTAATCTGCAGAGGGCCACTGCTGGGAAGAGAAGAGCCCTTTTAAAGCACAGTATTGCCGCATGAAGCTTATAAAGCACTAACTAATGGAAAATCCCACAACTAAAACCTCCTACAAAGTTTAGCAAAGTCCAAGAAAGGTGCAAATTCCAAAGAGGTGCTGCCCTTGTTTGAGATAAGAAGGATCAACTGGAAGTTGTTGGCATTTGGAAATTATAGTCAAGACATATAATAAATGCTTACACTTGAGCATTACACTGGAACTGTGGTGTTGATACTGTCTGCCACTAAACCGTTGTTAAAGCAAGACTTAGGAAAACCACAGAAAGATATCATTGAGAGGAAGGCAGAGACTGGGGTAGGCGATGTAGGACAAGGAGATGACAATAATGAAAGGTAATGTGATGGATGGAGTCAAGAGACTGGGGTGGAAGATGAAGCGTAAAATGTTAATGTGAATATGTAAATAAGATTGTTTTATTCAACGGGGAAGTGATGTAAAATCACATGATCAGTAGGTGATACAGCAATGTGGTAGAGGCAACGTTTTGGCCTACCCATAGTTAGTATTTACTATGTATTTAGTCTGAATAAAGGATAATGTTTGCTGACAACCAAGACTCCTGCAAATTTTATCCACCCTTTTACCAGTTGCAACCACAGTAGAATAGCAGAGCATTGACCCATGTGATGCCCAGCACACCAAGACACAACAGCTGGATTTTGAGGGAAGTGGAATCCCTTCCAGTTGCAGTAAATCTCAGAATTTACATGTGGCATCCACAAAGTGATGTGTATGCCCGTTCGATGGTACTGGCCTCCCTCAGGAGACCCGCTAAATTTGTAAAAGCACATTCCCTTGCCAACTGCTTCTCTCTGTCAAGAAACAATGAAATATGTGTGGCTCTCTTTGGGAATACACTTACTGTCAGCCTTCTGAGAACAATCCAACCCACCCCTCACTCTTCAGGCAGCTTGAGTCTCCTCTGAATATTCTTTAGTCATGTTATAGGCCAAGGGGAGGCAAGCTACTGCACCAATGCCTGGGTGGTTTATTTAGACGTTGGATCAAAGCCAAACAGCATATGCTTCATCAGTCCCTGTAGGTCTCAGTTATTTTAAACAACTCTATAAAGCATCAAACACATCACAATTGCAATCAGTGCCAGTCAAGATCAATTAGCAACAAACATGGAAGCAGTCAACTATAGCGAGGAGATGGCTGTCTTTCGGTACAGCTGGGTACATGTACAGCTATGCGTCTTTAGGAATTAGAATTAGAATTAGGTTTTATTGTCACATGTACTCGAGTACAGGGATACAGGCGTACAGTGAGAAATGTACAAAGTTGCTGTTTCCAGCACCGTCTTAGCTAAAAAGTGTCTAGTTACAAAATCTTTAGATATAAATTAGAAAACTAAAGAAATAAAGTTATAAGTTCAGCATTACAGTCCTTCTAAACCAGAGAAAGAGAGAAAAATATAAAAGCAGATGGAGCAGATGAGACTGTGCTGGGTTTCACCTCGAGGCTGGGAGTCCGTGCTGTGCTTCACCTCGAGGCTGGGAGCCTGGGCTGGGCTTCACATCGAGGCTGGGAGTCTGTGCTGGGATTCACCTCAAGACTGGGAGTCTGCAATGAGCTTCACCCCTGGAGATTGTATTACTTGGACCATCGAATTCCAAAATGGCAGCATTGATGTCAAATCAGTGTAATGTACAGATCGACAACACAATCTTAAACTCTGTATTCTCCCAGTGCATACTTCTTGAGCACAAGCTACTATCCTGCCAGGTGTGGCTCCTTGCAGAAGTGTATGTGTAGCTGTAGATGCCACCATAGAGACAGAACAACACTCATACTGTCGAAACATGATGGGCACAGCACCCAGTCTGTTTGGGTTGGGGCACAGTAACTACTGGAGTCCATGAAATTTATGCCCAGTCCCCTACTGCTCACAGCATTGTTAAAGATATTTCTCGTGCCATTGACCAGTGAAAGCATAACTGTGAATAACTTGGCTAATCGTATGTGGAGTTCCACCTCAAAGGAAAACAAGTTGTTCTAAATCTGCATTGATTATCAATGAGATCAGAGCTGGAATGTCATATGAAGTTTTGAATATCCTGTTTTCACACTGATGTGTCAGATGAGGGTCAAAAAGGAGCTGTGAGGAGAATCATAGGATTCTAGATTTTAAGGAGAATCTCACCAAAAGTGAATTGTCATCCTTTAAGAAATATCTGAGGTAGAAATACAGTCAAAGCTGTACACTATGGGATATAAAGTGAGGAGTATACTGTGAAGCTTTGGTTAAGATAGCCTTCATGGTGAGGGAGGAGGGGGTATCCAATAAATGGATTGGGTAGAGCCTGTGATAGAGCATTCATATATATTATGTGATTAAATGGGCTTTCTCTCGCAGCATCTTTTCTTATACTGTTAAATCACAGAAAATTTACAGACTTCACAATGCCGTGTTGCCCCAGATGACTACCGGAGAGGCGTGAAGGCAGGTGAGGGCGTACAGGGTAGGGAACTGTGACCAATGCTCAGTGGATGAAATCATGTCTTAGCCGTCCTGTACTGTTCAGTGGCAAAGGAAGACAATACAAATGCGCCAGAATAACACAAAAAATTGCAACATCTCTGCTTAAATATCTCCCCGGAAATACAGCCAGAGCTGCTACCAACATAGGGGAGCAGTTCTGCTTGTGTCCCTGCGTTCACATAATGCTGACCTTGGGGAAATTGCAAGAATCATCATGAGACACTGGCCGAAAGGAGAAAATCTGAGAAGCTTACATTGTTTTTCGGCTCCCCCTAATGGAGACTGATAGGATAGCTATGATAGAAGTTTTGGGACGTGCCTTTGTGTTGTTGTCTGTGCTTGCTAACGGTGTTTGTCCGAGAACTAATATAAAAAGAAATGGACAAAAACTGAAAATGGGCTGAGGACTTGGACAAAAGGTTAAGAGCTAAGGAAGATTATGATTAATACTTTCTCGTGTAAATTCTATGTGTTTTAAAACCTCCAGCACCTCTCTTTTATAATGTGGACTCTTTTCAAGACATCAATATTTATTTTCCCGAATACTGTGGCCTCCATTTCTTCCACTTACAGTAAAAAGTGACACCAAATATTCACTCTCCCATCTCTAAACATCGACAACCGTTGATCTTTAAGGGGCTCTATTCTCTCCTTGGTTACTCTTTTGCTCTTAATATACTTGTAGACTCTCTTTGGATTATCTTTAACCTTATCTGCCAAGACTATCGCATATATCCTTTTTGCCTTCCTGATTTCCATCTTCATAATGCCTTTTGGAGGAGAACAGCTCACAATTCCAAATACGGGAAAGTTGTGGAATGTTTTTCTTGGGAAGAATGGGAGTGGGCCTGCTGGAGAGAAAAAAAGAGAAAGGAGGAAGTTCTCAGGATGGTGGAGGAGGAGAGGTTGTTAGTGAATATTATTAAAATGGCAAAAAGGTTGGTCTCCCCATATTTTGAGGCATGAGAACTTGCTGAAGATTAGAAGGATGCAGAACAAGAGAGAAAAAGAGAATGCTGACTTCAGTGATTTTGAAATTGAAAATGGGGCTTCTACATGAAATTGAAGAGGAAAGTTCATGACCATAAGTTATGGAAAAAGGAGCAGAGGAACTGCTTTGAGGCACATCACCATTTCTAGTTTACAATTAATGAAACAGAGAGCAATCAGAGATAGAAGAGTGAGTATCAATAAGAAAACCAGGGTATGATCTTTGGATTGCACTTGGGAAACATGGGTGAGACCATTTTGTGCCTTTCAAAATCTGAGCCCATCATCTCTACCCACAACTACCATATTTCCATCTGTTGCAGAGGTGGGCAGAAAGAGTTCATTTTTCCTGGTCCTGAGGCAGCTTCAGAGGATGCTGTGATGGACTGGTTAAAAGACCTGACTTAGTTCTCTGGGAAATCAGCCCAGTCAGATAACTTTGCTCTTATGTCATTAATTCTCGCCAATAAAACTCCTATGCCCCCCCGCTTGATCCTCATATTCCACATGCTCTGTCCATACCCCAGCCCTGTATCCATTATAGCACTCACCCCTCACCAATCCACCACGTACAGCCCTTTGATGAAATGCAACAGCAATGGGAAACTTTTGAAATGGACGTATAACAGCACATCTCCAATATAAGAGAGATGTTAGTGAAAACCACATATTAAAAAAATCCTAACCCAAATTTTTAAAAAAGTATATAAATCCCAAGTGTTAATCTGTTGTAAAGATAAATATCAATTCAGTAATTATGCCAATGACATATGGTTACTTTATAACTTCTTAAAACCTTAGATCAGACTGTGAATGCTATGGCCTGCTGATATAAGGATATCTTATGAAATTCAGTCAAGCATTCATAATACACTCAGCTATCAAAACAAACCTTTACTGTTTAAAGACAAAGGAACCTATTGAAACCATAAGAACAGAGAGCTTTTTATTTTTTTTCTAAGGTCCTAATTATTGTCAATAAAAGCACTGCAGGAGCATTTTTTTTTTAATTCTCTGAGTTAGTAATGCTGATCTTTCATTTTCAAATTTAAAGGGATAAGGATTTCTAAATCATGTCAGATAGTGACATTTGAACTTGCTCACCACCACTGTTTTATATAGTTTTGAATGCATAATAGCACTTTTCCTAGCAGAGAAAAGTATGTTAATACATCTCAGCACTTACAGAATGCTGGTCTATGCAATAGTCAACTTCCCTTTCTTTACAGAACAGAGACCTATAATGAATTGTTGCAAGCAATATGTCTAACACAGAACAACATCAAATTTTGACAGTCAAGACTGTCAAATTATTTAATGCTTCCCCCAAGGTGTGTGAAGCAAAGAACAATGCAGATTTTCAGAAACTGTGCAAAACCTGCCTGTCCTGATTAAAATACTGTGGCACAGGAATAACAAATTTCTCCTAGGGCTCTCAATGGTAACTCCAACATCATTAGACCAGCATGCAGAATTGTAATCCAAACTATTCCCTACCTGCAACATGGTCATTAAAAATGGTGTGAGTCAAAGTTGTCATTTATCTTGCCTATGAGGGTGAGAAAAGTTTTAGCAGATATGAATGTAAAGTGTCAAATATTGGATGAAATTGGGCATTATTAAGTATTAAGATCTACTAAAGGGAGAAATATTCTCTCACAAAGACTAGGGAAATGTAGAACTCTGTTTTCCCAATGGCATTGAGGCTAGGTCAATTGAAAATTTCAAAACTGAGATTGATGAATTTTGTTAGGAAATGGTACTAAGGAATTGGGGACTGATGCAGGTAAATGGAGTTAAGACATAAATCATTCAATAATGGAACAGACTCCATTGACTCCTGTTCTTGTATTCCTTCCAACTCAACAGGATAATAAATGTTGAATCCTCTGATCTGCTTGAGATTTGTTCTGGTTCAGAATAATTTGAGGAATTTGTCGATGAAATATATTTTGGATTTAAATTATAACCCCCCATACCTTTTCATTATATGTTTCATTGTGTTTAGAAATTATTAATGCAATCATAAACCCTGCGACAGTGTTGAGACCTACACTGTCTGCCGAAAAATGCAGTGAACAGATTGTCACGCTGCTGACTGCCTGCTGGGATGAATGTGCAGACAGAAGACCACACTTTCAGTCAATCAAACAAGCTCTGCGAAAGGCTAGTCCAGAAGGGTGAGTTTTACAAGCTCCTGCTCACTGATAGGGTTTTCACTTTTCTCAGATATTAACAACTCTTGACAATTAGGTAACAGTTCACAATAACACTGGCACAGATAATGTTTTCCACCAGAGCTGGGCAGTTTGTTTTTGGATTTGTTTCTCCTAAGCGCCTGATTAATGCTACATTGATGAAGATGCTGTTAGATTGTATGTGATAACTTGTAAGCAACACAGAAGTTTAAAGTTAATGATATAGACAATAAGATTTGACACACTTTAGTTTGTAAAGATAGGACACTGACATTGTCTCTCTGTGAATGTGTTTTTATAAAGAAGCTTACAAGGAGATCCTGGCTTGTGCAGTATGAGTTAGTTAAGTTGCCTGCATGGTTGGTTTGAAATGCAGAGTGATACCTGGGTTCAATTCCCACACCAGCTGAGGTTACCATGAAGGACTCTCCTTCTCAACCTCTCCCTTCACCTGAGGTGAGGTGACCCTCAGGTTAAACCACCACCTGGTGTCTCTGTAATGAGTGAGTAGCTCTGTGATCTTGTAAAATTACAGTGACTTTTTAATCATCAAATGAACCTGCTTCTTTCAAAGGACAAGAACTAGTAAAGAACCTAACCATAACACAAAAATAAACTTCATAAATTTAAGAAAAAAATATTAAGAATGTCAAATTCACTCTCCTGTCTCTGTGGTGACTATCGATTATGGAAGGCATCAAGCATACTGGTGGGCATTGCCAGCTCCTTCGGTAGAGTCTCTCATTAGGGATGCAGCCTAACATTCTGAAGGCTTCCAGAACTTTGTATTTTCCAGCAGTGCCAATATTTTGTTGATTTTGTTTTCCCGCAGTCTGTGTGTTCCATTGATGAGCTACCAGAAAAATTGTGAGGCCTCTATCGCACATCTCAGATCTTTTGCCAGTTCTCAGTTTGCTAAAAGCCTTTCAAACATTTGCTCAGGGATGATCAAATGGCCATCACAACTGTATTCAGTGCCGCTCAGATTCCAGTTCCTGTCAGAAGCAAAAATGAACAATGAGGGTAAGTGCATTTGAGGAGTGTTGCTTATCTAGTTGTTTATTCATTTTTTTCTATCTAGCGAGGTGAGCATTCTGGATAGTATGGTGCATAAACTGGAAAAATACGCGAATCATTTGGAAGAAGTGGTTGAAGAAAGGACAAACCAACTCATGGTGGAGAAGAGGAAGACAGATCAGCTCCTGTCCAATCTGTTGCCTAGGTATTGATCTTTTCGAGTTTTGACATCTGAGAAGCTCTGTTTCTCCTCATAAAATATTATTCTTACTTCTAACACTTAAATGCGCCATTCTAATTATAACACAAACAATGATAACTATGCACACAAACCTTCTGCACTGTCACAAAGTTCTTTCTGGAACACAGTGCACATTCATTTTTATGACTTAATTTAACAAATTCAGATCAAATCATTGTAAGATGCAGCAACTATTGCTGCAGGGAGACACCTGCTGGTGCTCTAGACCCATAAGACCATATGATATAGGAACAGAATTAAACAATTTGGCCCATTGAGTCTGCTCCACATTCAATCATGGCTGATGTGTTTCTCACTTTGTTCTCCTGCCTTCACCCCATAACCCTTGATCCCTTACCAATCAAGGACCTATCTATCTCTATATTAAATACCTTCAATAGCCTAACCTCCACAGCCTTCTTCACAGATTAACCACTCTCTGGCTGAAGAAATTCCTTCTCATCTCAGCGGTAAAGGTCGTTCCTTCGCTTTGAGGCAGTGCCCTCGAATTCTAGTCGCTACTCTAGTGAAAACATCTTCTCCGTGCCCGCTCTATCCAGGTCTCTCAGTATTCTGTACATTTTAATGAGATCCCCCATCATCCTTTTAGACCCCATCAAGTACACACCCAGAGTCGTCAACTGCTCCTGATATGACAAGTCCTTCATCCCTGCAATCATTCTTGCAAACATCCTCTGGCCTCCTCCAAGGCATCCTTCCTTAGATATAGGGCCTAAAACCGCTCACAATATTCCAAATGCTGTCTGACCAGAGCCTTTTACAGTCTCAGCAGGACAATTCTGCTCTTGTACTCTCGCCCTTTTGAAATGAATGCTAACATTGCATTTTCCCTCCTAACTGCCAACTGAACCTGCATGCTAACCTTAAGAAAATCCGGAAGTAGAACACCCACTTGCCTTTGTGTTCAGATTTCTGAAGCCTTTCCCCATTTAGAAAATAGCCTATGCCATATTCTTCCTACCAAAGTGCATAACCTCACACTTTCCCACATTGTATTTCATCTGCCACTTCTTTGCCCACTATCCTAGCCTGTCCAAGTCCTTCAGCAGCCTCCCCACTTCCTCAACACTACCTACCCCTCCACCTATCTTTGTGTTATCTGCAAACTTGGCAACAATTCCCTCAGCTCCTTTATCCATATCGTTAATATATAGCATGATTAGTTGTAGTCCTAACAATGAGCTCTGCAGAACTCCACTAATCACTGGTGCCATCCTGCAAAAGGCTTCCTTACCTCACAAAAAACCAAAAGAACTGCGGATGCTATAAATCAGAAACAAAACATAAATTCCTGGAAAATGTCAGCAGGTCTGGTAGCATCTGTGGAGAGAAATCAGAGTTAACATTTCGGGTCCAGTGGGCCTTCTTCAGAACCGTTCCCATTCTTTATTCACCTTTACTCAATTGTAATACCATTACATCTGATTCAGCTTCTCCCTCTCAAACTGCAGGTTGAATTCTATCATATTATGGTCACAGCCCCCTCGGGGCTCCTTCACCTTAAGCTCCGTAATCAAGTCTGCCTCATGACATATCATGCCTATTCCATAGTGGGCTCTACGTCAAGCTGCTCCAAAAAAAATCATGTAAATATTCCACAAATTCCTTTTCTTGGGATTCGCTATTCACAATTACTCTCTGTTTCCTATTCCTCAGCTAATTTTGCATCTGTGTTGCTACTGTCCCTCTTATTCCATGGCCTATAATTTTCCTCATGTCTATTGTATAGCATTGTATTTAGTGCCTCAAGGAAGTCCATGTACACCACATCAATAGCCTTCCAATAATCAACACACTTTGTTATTTCTTCAAGAAACTGCATCAAGTTAATTAGGCACAATTTTCCCTTCAGAAAATCATTCTGACTCTTCAAAATTAACCCAACTTTTTCAAATTGAATATTAATTCTATCCTGACCCACTGATTTTGGTAGTTAACCCACCTCAAGTTAAACAGACTGGTCTGTAGTTGCTGGGCTTATCTTAACAACCTATTTTGAACAATGACATAACATTCGCAATGCTCCAGTCTTTAATTTCCACTCTGACTTGCTTCAAAATCCTTGGACGCATCTCATCCAGCCCTCATGCCTCATCAAATTTAAGTCCCAACAGCTTACCCATTCATTCCTCCTTATCAATTTAAAACCCTTCGAGTGACTGAGTTTCTTTGTCTGTCACATGGTCTGGCAGCACCTCCCTCATAGACAGAGAAGATGTAAAATATTCATTTTAGAATCCAGACATGCCTCTTGCCTCCATGACTAAATTCCCTATTTTGGTCCTTAATCCACCTTACTGCTCATTTTAATATCCTTTTAGATTTTTGTACATCTGTTAGCAAGTCATGTTGTTACATGGTGTAAGCAAATCTATGCCCTTTTAAATGCAATGTGACTCAATGGCCTCTTAACAGAAATGTTCAGTCTTGTTATGCCGAGCACATTTCATATATACTGTAAGCTTAGAGAAAAGTAGTCTCATGATGAACAGGTCAAACTTGAGTTCTAAGCACAGATCCTGTTTAAGTGCATTAGTTTTCAAATGTTTTATTCATACCCACCAGGGCAGCACAAATCCAGGTAAATAAGCAGTCTAGGCTTTTGAAGATTCTTCTTTTAACACTTCAAGTCAATGATCATTCATCAAGTTTTCAAAGATTTAAGCATCTTCTTTTGATTAAGAAGCAGTTGCCTGCTGACTTATAGTTGCCGTCCTAATTATCAACAGGTTCATCGCAGAACAGCTCATGCAAGGAAATCATGTGGAGCCAGAATTCTTTGAATGTGTTACTATCTCCTTCTCAGATATTGTTGGCTTCACAAGCCTGTGCTCTATCAGCACCCCACTGCAAATTGTGGATATGCTGAATGATCTGTACAGCCTGTTTGATGACATTATCAAGTCTTATGACGTCTACAAGGTAGGAGAATGCTGACTGGATAATACTTCGTAGATTTAATGTTGAATAAAATTCTACTATTTTGCTCCTGTTACCCTGTCGTCCGCAGGGTTAAGCTCAGGATAAACAATTGTATGATTTTACCATGTATGACATGAAGGAAAGACCAAATAATCAAAGAGCTCGAGTAATTCTTGAGTACTTTTATTGGAAACAACAAAACATCCCTGATGTCAATACAGTGTCACTCCACTAAAGTGTCCCATAGACATGACATTTCTTAGTGGCAATTTAACAGTGCGCTGTCCAATTTAGAGTAATTTCTAACTTTAATGATACCTGAACAATTTTATGCACTGCCAGAACCTGCTAGTTACTATTAATATTAGAACATAGTAACAGGAGTAGGCCATTCAACCCCTCAAGCCTGTTCCATCATTCAAGGAGATCATGGTTGATCTAACTCTATATATCTGCCTTATCCTTTAATAGAGAGGTAGTAGGAACTGCAGATGCTGGAGAATCTGAGATAACAAGGTGTAGAGCTGGATGAATCCGACATCAACCCCTCTCCCTGCAATCCCTTCAAACACCTCAGGTGCATACAGTGCATTGCCAATGCTTTAAACTTTTTCAATCAATACTTTTTAAAATATAGAATCATCCCAATTATATGGAATTATTCCATTCAGGCATAGATACACAATTGCATTCCTCAGCCCAGTTTAATCACTTGTAGTCTTCAATGAATTCATCTGATTGTGTTTCAACATCTTGGTGTGGTACGGTTATCATTGAGCTAAATTAAATTATTGTTATAGTAAATAAAGAGACAAATAAATTTAAGGGGTAAAAACAATTACTTTCTCCAATGTCAACCTTTAAAATGACCATTGACTCCTCCATTGGTTTTGTAAAATATATTGATGAAGTTCCACGACATGCCAAGTTCTATCCTGGAGTATCAAGGATGGGAGGAAGTCTTAGCATTGTGTGACCACCACACTGAAATTATACTGAAGCTTCAGATATCTAGTCCTTTATGAATGATTCACTGGGTATAATATATATTAGCATAAATATAATTGTGACATCTTAGCTTGTTTTTCAATGCTTACAAGCTAGTGCAACAGGATTAAAGACCAATCAGAAATGATTGGACAGATCTGCAGTCCTCATAGCATTCCTAGCCACTGGACTATCTCTGTACTTGCAGCAGGAGCACAGGGAAGTGGGAATTCATTTGGCTCAATCAAATTCTTTAGAGAAGGAAAGTTTGGGATCCTCACCTGGTCTAGCCTGCATGTGACTCCAGATTCATAACAATATGCTTAAATTTTGAATGCCCTTATAATATGTGATAATGTAACACACAGCCACAAAGGCTGATAAAAGTAGTGAAATGAGGTGAACCACCAAATATCAATGAAGACCAAAAAAAGACACCAGCATACATAGCCTGGTCAATATCAAAAGGCACCAGGTACTGTAAAGACTATAGTTGTTATCTAAGGAGCCTTACTGAGTTGTTGCAGTACATCTGGTAGATAGTACACATTGCCACTATGCATCAATTGTTGAAGGTGTGAAATGGGGTGCCAACTGAGGATCTGGTTCTTTAGTGTTTTTGGAGTTGCACCAATCCAGGCACTGAGAGGGCATTCTACCACATTTTTAATTGTGCCTTGTAAACAGCGGGTATGGTTTGATGAGTCAGCAGATGAGTTGTTTGCTGCAGAACTGGGTTAGAATTGGAATCTACTACCAGCTATAGTACTGAAGATTTCAGCTCCAGAACTAGCTGCAGCCCCTAGATAACTGATCCAGTACAGATACAACACCGGCATCCACCCAGTATGTGGAAAATTGCCCATGTGTGCCCTGTCACCAAAAAAGCAGGACAAATCAAACCTGGACAACTATTGCACCATCAGTCTCCTCAAAATCATTAGCAAAGTAATGGAAGATGCTGTCAAAGGTGTTATTAAGTGGCAGTAATAAGCTATTCACCAACGTTCAATTCAATTTCTGCCAGACCTATTCAGTCCTTGACCTCACAACAGCCTTGTTCCAAGTACGGACAAAAGGCCTGAATTCAAGACAGGCAGTGAGGGTGACTGCACTTGATGTCACGGCAGTATTTCACAGTGTGTGGTATGAGGGAACCCTCCCAAAACTAAAGCCAATGGGAATCAAAGGGCAAACTTTCTGCTGGTTGGAGTCATACCTAACACAAAGGAAGATGGTTATGATTGTTGGAGGTCAGTCTTGTCAGCCCCAGTTCTCAAAGCAGGACTTCCTCAGGGTAGTGACCCCGTCCCAACCATCTTCATAAGGTCGGGATGGAGATGTTCGCTGATTATTGCACAATGCTCAACATCATTTGTGTCTCATCAGATGCTGACGCAGTCTGTGTCCATATGTAGCATGACCTGGGCCATATTCAGGCTTGGGCTAGCAACTGGCAAGTAACAGTCCTGCAAATGATCATCTTCAACAACAGAGAATCTAGCCATTGTACATCATGTCTTGATGTACAATGGCATTACCATCACTAAATCCCCCACTATCAACATCCTGGGAATGACCATTAACCAGAAAGTAAATTAACCAGTCATGTAAATTCTGTAACTAGAAGAGAAAATCAGAGGCTGGGTATTCTGCAGCAAATAACTCACCTCCTATGTTGTCCAAGCCTGTTGACTGTCTGCAAGGCACAAGTCAGGAGTGTGGTGGAATACTCTCGACTTGCTTGGATGAGGGCAGCTCCAAATACCCTAAAGAAGTTTGACACCATCCAGGACGAAGCAGCACATTGGATTGGCACCCCATCTAATACGTTGAACCATTGATGCACAGTGGCAATGTGTACTAGCTGCAAGATGTATTACAAAAACTCACCAAGGCTCCTTGGACAACACCTTTTAAGCCTGCAACCTCTGCCACCTGGAGGAAAAGGGCAACATCTACATAACTAACTTGTAAATATATCACTGTTCCTTCACTGAGTCAAGATCCTGGAAAGCCCTTCCAAACAGCTGTATGGGTAATCCTGCACTTCAATGTCTGTAGTTGTTCAGGAAGACAGCTCACTAACACTTTCTCAGGGCAAATAGGGACAAATAATAAATATTGGCCTAGCCAGAGATGCCTACATCCAGTGAAAGAATATTTTAAAAATTAATAGGAAATAACGGTATTAAATGCTGGAACAGTTACTTTTCTCTGACTTTTGTACAACTGATTATGTTATTTAAATAGTATTTGCATTGGCAGTAAATAGTTGCTGACTCAGTTGAACTCATTAGAGTGATTGCAAATGTTTATAAATTTAAACAGTGTGCTATACCATCCTAAGAAGGCATCACTGTATTCAATTAAGTCTGCTGCCATTTTCCTTTTAAAATTTAAATCCAATTTAAAAGCAAGAAATAAATCCTCTTCATGTCTGTTAACTTCCATTAGGCCAGATGTTTACACATCATTTCCCTGTGCAAAAGATTTGACCGCGTTCTATTTCTATCTGACTGCAGGTTGAAACAATAGGAGATGCTTACATGGTAGCAAGTGGACTGCCCATTCGCAACGGAATGCAGCATGCAGGGGAAATTGCCACAATGTCTTTGCATTTTCTCAGTGCCATTGTGACCTTCAGGATAAGACACATAGATAATGCACAACTGAAACTTCGCACAGGCCTCAACACAGGTAACATAACATCAATCTTGAACACTAATTGTTTTATTTTTCTTTTGCATGATATATAGGACATATTATCTGTAGTCTTCCCATTGTCCTCGTGCTCTTGCATGATTTCAGTTAAAAATCAAAATTTAAATAAGGGTCATAATTTTACATAGACGTAGAGGCTCCACACATTGGCTGAAGAGTAGCGGTGAAACTATTACCGCATGGCAGGGAACCCCAGGTTGATTTGTGTCCATTGGGCTGTCACATGGCTCAGGGCAAGACTTTCTCACCCATTTGGAAGACCCGCATTTGAGAGCCATTGGTCTATCAGAGGTCTGGCAGCTCGAGTCCCAGCAGGCCCATTGCGATGGTTGACCACTGTTGGAATGGCAGACAGTCACCAAGGAAGAGTATTGCTGGGGCCCTATGACAAGATGATTGAGTGGGTATGGGGTTCACCAGAACCAGGGGTGAAGAAAAGAGTGAGGGATCACAGACGAGAGATTGTAAGGGGTGGACAAGCAAGGGCAGGGTGTACCATGATTTGGACCTCCTTTGAGAACAGGGCTCCTGAGTGGGTTGGGACCGCCAGTTCAGAATCAACCTGCCCATGAGCATTCAACTGGTGGCTGTCGAATAAGGGTATAGGGTCTGAATGAATACTGAGGAATGGTTTAAGCACCGCACACTATGGTGACTCCACACAGACTTGCTGGGAGAACAGCTAGGGCATTATAAGCATAAGACCATCCCAGCTTTGCTTATAGTCTCTGTAACAATAGCTATCATATCAGTGTAACTTGTATCTATTTGCTAACATGCAATAAACTACACCTTATTTAAGACAGGAGCCTCTTCTCATTAAACAATTAAGCGGTTATTCTCTGCCACACTAGACAAGGTGGACCCGAAAGCTCCCTACCCTAAAAGCAAATGCTGGCCATAAACTTACCCCATGGCACTCAATGCCGCAGCTTGCCTCATGAAACAGGTGGTCAGCTGTGAGGGTGGGAATTGTTTACACCACATTGTGAGCAGTGGAATGGAATCCATTGAGCTGCCTCATACCATAGGCAGGCAGCAGTGGAGGTCTGACAATTTCTTCAGGCACAGTATTAAGAATTCTGCACAGCCAGATGGCCAACAGCTGGAAGAAATGTACATTCAAGAACCCAACAGTAGAAAACATTGTGGAAACCGTCATCAAGGTGGGATCCACAGTCAATGATAAAAGCATTCTTGGCCTGGTAAGAGATGCACTGCATTTAAAAATGCTACAGAATTAAAGGCTACTAAAGTTAGAATTGAAGTACTTACAGCTGAGATCAAATGTTGCTGTCATAGCAAGCCAGCAAACAGAGGTAGGTCTTTAGAAGGGAAATCAAGAGCTATAGAATCAATTCAAACTGAAGTCACAGACCTGGAGATTTCACAAAGATAGAATTACAAAGGACATATTCAAGGTCCAAGAATACAAGGTCTAATGTAAGAAGAAAGTCAGGAGATTTTATTAAGTCCACAGAAAAGGTGGGCGATCTATTATTCAAACCGTGGTAAAGGTGTTAAGTGTTTATTGAAGGTGGACTCCAAGAATCATTCAGGAAGAAACCAGGATAGAAATAGTTATTAACATTAGGACTAAAGACAACAAGAATTAAGCCAGAGAAAAGACAATAAGTGGGAGACATTTCTTGACATCATAAACAATGGGAGATGAACATCATTCACTGAAACTCGAGAAAGTGAGAAGCGTTTATTTAGCCAATGGAGAGTAAGAATAATTCAGAAAACTGTAAATTGTACAGAGATTTTTATTTCAGCCACAAAAAATGTGAATCCTCAACTTTGACAAGAATAGCATAGCAGAGGAAGGATTAAATTCAAACTGAGAACTTAGTTTCTTTATATTCACAGCAATAAACCTTAGTTATTAGTGACAGAGACCATACCATGTAGGCAGCAATCCTCAAATAGCAAAGCTGAGGAAGTGCACAGGGTGGTTTCACCAATACAGCTGCCACTGAGGCTGAATGAAAACATTTATCCTCATCAACATATTAAAGAATCTACCCACTTCAGCATACATTTATCAGCAGATTGAAAATAAAAAACTGCTGATGTAGTTTGAAGCCACTACTCCATGGAAGCCACTACTGGGAAGGGATGACTATTCTTCAAAAAGGAAATTGCCTGATTGGTTGATCAAAGATACTGCAAAAAAGAAAGTATCTGTTTCCATAAGACAGCTATCCTCCTCAAAGAAAATACATCAGATTAAAAGTCCTTCAGATGTTGCAATGCAGCAATTGTCCATTTTAGCAGGAAGATGTTCTCCATGAAGGAAATCCAAGTGACTTAAGGTCCTCCATCTAAAGGGACTTTCATCCCTCACACTGTCAGCAATAAAATCAAAGACAACATTCTTCAACGCAAAGAGAACACACTCTGGGATCGTCTGAATTTGTGAAATTAGAGACTTGGAGAGAAGATGGTTCCTGCTAAATGTAATTATATACGAGCGTGGACAATATTAATAATAAAAAGCTTGGGAGAGATATTGTATCCGAGTGGAAGGGTTTAAAAGGATTCACAGTTAACCACTCACTGTGATAATGTCATACAAACCTGGTGGGAGAACAGCTTAGGATCTTGAAAGAGTAAAATTTTTGAGGTCCTCGTCATTGTCTCCTTACAATGTCCATCATAACAGTGTACCTTGCATCTTGTTACTAACATGTGATAATCTGCATCTTGTTTAGAAGCCTCTTTTCATGAGACTACCAAATGGTTTTCCTCTATCACACTAGGTCAGGTGGGCCTATAGATCCCTACCCTAAAAGAGGCAAATGGCAGCAAATGAACTACATGGTGAGCAGTTGTACAGATAGCGTCATACAACATGGTGATCAGCAGTGAGCATTTCTCATATAGCAGCAACCTGATCATATGACATGGGCACCATTACCCAAGTAAAATGTCAGCTGCGGCTGGCGAAGACCATTAACTGGCCACCTAATGGCCGAAATTGTCACAAGTATGGGCAGAATACCCAACATCCCTCCCATACTGCTTCTAGCTACAGGTAAAGTGCAAGAGGAGGTGGGTGGGTAAAAGGCTCAACATGTAGGGTGTATAAGCTTTTCTAAGGAAGAGATTCTATGCGTTAGCCATGGGCTCAAGTATCCAGACAACAATTGAATTGTAAGACACAGGATAACCTAAAGTCCAATTCTAGTTAAAAAGAAATGTGCGGTCTTATTGAGAAATTCTCCACAAGTATGAAAGAAAGAACATCAAAATTCCACTTTCAGTTGATAGATATGTACTAGAAACCTATTATTTCTTCATGTGATTGGAAATATTATATTCCACTCTTACGCCAAGTAGGACAACATAATCTCCAACTTTTCTTCGGAAGAGTTTTATTTTCTAGTTTCAATAGTACCTGATCAACTCAGATTCTTGTTGCATACAAAAGGTTTGGGAGCTGACTCTTGATAGATTTCTAGTTGTTGCAATTTACGTGAACCAGGAAACCATACCAAAATATTGATTGGTAGATTGAAGGGTAGCAATTACAGAGCTGAGAAGAGAGTATTCCTCCCTTAATCACTGCTAAATTACTTTTGCAGGTCCAGTAGTTACAGGCGTAGTTGGAACAACGATGCCCAGGTACTGTCTGTTTGGTGATACTGTCAATGTAGCATCAAGAATGGAAAGCAATGGTTTGCGTAAGTATTCAACATTTTTCCTTTCTGGTTCTTAAATAAATAAAATAACCCAAAGAGCTCAGCATCCTTGGCAAATGACAGGACAGTAACCTGTAGACAAGTTCTAAATACTCCATATGGTACAACTGCAATCAATTCTGCAACCCTTCGTATTGCGCATATTTGGAAAATGATTTGCTCAGAGAAAATATGGAAGACAGTAAATGTGAGTTAAATTTCAGACATATATTTCAAAGAAATTAAAATTCAATGGCTTGAAGAAATCAGTTTCATTTAATTTGTTTACTAGTATGGGTTTTTAGTTCAATGACAGGGGAAATGCCTTTTCACTGAAGATCAAAAATTGTAGTCAGAAAGTAGAAATGCAGAGAAATCAGGGAAATTCACTTTATCCTTACATTTCAAACCAATGTCATGAAAAAATCTTTAATAAGCATCTCTCCACGTCCTGTGTGTTCTCAACAGCAATTTGTATTGACGCAGCTGATCGCAAGTAATAAAATGTCCCCTGGTGGTTCGCGGAAGTGTTATTAAAAAAAAAACTAGTGCTTTCTAACATAAATTAGTATTTAGTGTGAAACTCAGTACAAACAAGTCATCAAATAGACCGATATGAAGTACTACAGTTTCCAATCTATTATCTGGCTCATTTATGACAATGACAGATAGATTGGAACATACCTCCTCCTGACACACTTGCCCCACTCTCTCTCACCCTCCCGACACACTTGCTCCACTCTCTCTCACCATCCTGACACACTTGCCACACTCTCTCACGCTCCTGACACACTTGCCCCACTCTCTCACCATCCTGGCACACTTGCCCCACTCTCTCACCCTCCCGACATACTTGCCCCGCTCTCTCACCTTCCTGACACTCAGCCCCTCTGTGTCTCGCCCTTCCACACATGCACTGACCCTCTAAAGGAGCACAGGGACCAAGTCAGCAGAGCAGGCTGTGAAAGCCACAAGGGGTTGGAGTTGCAGCAACAGCATGTGTGTGCCCTCCCAGGGCAGCCAGCATGTCGTACAGGATGGAGTAAGGGAACACACCTTGGCAGCTTCGTACTATCCCGAATCCCTGTTTGGTAGTAACTTGTCCAACACACTTGGTCCTAGGAGGAAGGAGTGAGTTTGTGTAACTGAGTGACTGTGAGAGGCAGTGAATCTGTGTGGGATAGAGAGTATATATGAGATAGTACGTCTGTCAGAGGGAGGGATTCTGTGAGAAGCAGGGAGAGAGGCAGTCTGAGTGTGCACAGGTATACATGTGTGTAGACATGTGTTAAGAGTGAGAACCCTGGGATAAGGAGTGAGCCTCCTCCTACCCTCAACAAAACCTACGCACAAAGAAACTCAACAAAGGAAGGAAACACATGCTGAAAGGTAACCCAAGACAGACATCTGCATAAATTCCACTAAGTCTAGCTCAGAGTGAGGTGAATGCAAGGTAGTGATCGCAAAATCCTTAGTTTAGTTGCAGCTCCCATCTCTTCACTAGTGACAACTTGGAGGCTTGTCTCTTGGGCTCTGTTTCGGAAGTAAAAAGACATGAAAGGTTTTATTAGTTAGCTCTGCTGCTTGGTCCTTTTTAATAATTGTTTTCCTGCTCCTATTTCTTATACATATGTATTATTTTAACCTTTTTTTGATATTTAGCTTTGAAAGTACACATATCAGAGAGTACTGCTGAAGCACTGAGGGCACTAGGAGGATACAATGTTGTAAAGAGAGGGACAATTAAAGTGAAGGTAGGTAACCAAACTGTGAACATGAATTAATACATTTAGGACTTACTTTTACCTTATTTTCCCCAATAGAAGCAGTTTTTTAAAAAATGTTTTATGTAGTACATTTGACAGTCTGCACTTAACAAATGGCAAATGAATTAAGCTGCAATTTCTATATGCTCTGCAATTCAATTTTATGAAATACATTTAGAGAACTCCTCTGTGAATGTTGGTAATACCTTAATATAAGTAATAGCCCAAGTAACCTATTGGTCCTTTGGTAAAATTTAAAAATCTACCGTGGCTCACAGTACCTTTGTTTATCTTCAAACAGCATGGCTTGTAGTTACGTTAAAACCAGTCTGAAGCTTCCTCAGTGTGAAACATCCCCTTCAAAACAATCTGCCAAAACTGAAAACTTCAGGTTTTTGTAACAAAGCATTTTTTGTCATCATGTAATGAAAAAAATCTATCACAAAAAGAACCATACAACTGACCTACAACTCGTACTGGCTGGTGAACTGATTGGAATAAATTTCGGGTTTAGGTAGCCTTTAATATAGTCTGAAATAATCAAAGTTGGGCTGAAGCTGATTCTCTGGGGTGTGATTATCCCTTCCCTAGTGGCGTGGAAGGTATCAAGAAGGGCAAATCAACAAGTTGGCTCCAGATAGATATTTGCCCCCTTCTCATCATCTCAGCAATTAAGCGCTGAGCAGGAAGGCCCATGGATGACTTTTTCATCTTAACACCATTTAGAGCCATTAATTAGAAAATAGTTGGTTTTCTGACAGAAAAACAACTTTGCCTACTGTTTTGGGTTTGGAATACTTTATTTCCATCTATCACAGCCATTCAGAGGCTGGGATAGGGGGCCAAGAGGCTAAACACTGAAGGCCACCCCTACCCTTGCCTCCAAATCCCCAAAGCCCCTCTTCATGCAACTCCATGAGACCAAAAGAAACATACCTAAATTCTCACCAATTAAGCTACTAAAGTGGCCGCTATGGTAATTCTCTCAGATCTGAAAGCTGCCAGCCTCTAATAGTTTGGCAACATCTGGTGGGCCAGGATTTCCTTGTTGAGGTTTATAATTTGCCAAAGAGTTTACCTGTCAGCTTTTAAGTTGTAGATTTGGAGTCTGATTTGGAACTTTCTCAATGGTGGGGGTAGAAAGTCAGATGCCCACCCCTATACTTAACACACAGAACAATAACTCTCAGCTGCTCTCTCCGATTTCCTCTCTATTCCTAAAACAAGATTCATAATAAGCCTTCTGGTTTGCAAATTGGTGTTGGCAGTATTTAAGAAGCATAAATAAGCCATAGTTAAGGGGTTTGCCAAACAGAGTTAACGTTTCGGGTCCGGTGACCCTTCCTCAGAACTGGGTTCTGAGGAAGGGTCACCGGACCCAAAACGTTAACTCTGTTTTCTCCTCCACAGATGCTGCCAGACCTGCTGAGCTTTTCTAGCAACTTTGTTTTTGTTCTTCATACATACTATTTGGTACACCTAACCATTGGCATAAGAAAATGTAATTTACTTTGGAAATAAAAGAAATGAATATTCCAATATATACCATCAAAAATATGAACCATTTGTATTTTTCATAAGGGAAAAGGGAATCAAGCAACATATTGGTTAAGAAGCAAAGAGGGATTCAACAAGCCTTTACCAAAATTAGATTTCAACATGGGAGAAGATTTTAAGGACACATTTGAGGTAGGAATGGATTAATTAAATGTAAAATATGTCTAACAAGGTACAGAAAAGCTGCTCAATATTCCTACTGTGACAGTACTGTGCCTTTAAGAGGGATTTATTCTGTGCTGTTTCTCTTGCAGAGATGTGTTGCCAGTGGTAATGGACTGTCTGCTTCAGAAGCAGTGGGTAAATGGCTATGAGCTCCCTGAGTGTTTTTTTTTAACTAGACAAAAGAAATATGAGTGGGGTCAGGCTCATGCAGACTCAGGGTTTTAGTATTGCTTTCATTTGGGGTTTAGAGTTGGCTGCTGAAGCTGATAGATACAGATTTCTACCTGCTGCTGGATTGTTTCTGTCGGTGTTCATTTTTCCTGGACTGGAGGAGATAGCACATGAGAAAAATCTGTTTTGCTGAATTTGCCATTTCCAAAGGTGGGTTTATGTGCTGCTGCTATATTGCAACAGTTGATGATTAATAGTTAAACAATATATATTATTTTAAGTATTTCGATAGAGTTAAAGTTATGCCCATTTTTTTTTTGTATTTTAACTGTGTTGTAAGAACACAGTGTGTTTTTCTTAAAGCCTAGTAGGGGACCAATCAAATCATATATGGAACATAACTCCTTACACTTGCCTTTAAATAAGATAAAAGTTAGAATCTAGGCTATCGCCTTGACATATTTTGAGGGGGTTTGGTCTGTGTATAACACTAGGCCAAAAAAAATGTATGGGGATGGACTCCTCTCGAGCAGCAGTAGAAAGTTTATTCTCAAAGAAAGGATAACTTACTTCACACAACCTCCAAATGTTCTAAAGTATGTTTTCCAGCTAATGAATTGCTTTTGAGTATCACTGTCATGTATAATGTTGGAAATAGAAATGCCATGAACTTTGTGTGAACAATGGGATTGCTAATATAATGATAGACAACTAACATGTATCTAAGAATCTCTTGGACATTCACATCTCAGGTTATGAGCATTTGCAACAGACTCATTGCAGCCAGCTTAATATGAAGGGGATACAAGCTGCTTCATAAATTGTCTGAAGGTTTCACCAGCATCGCGTAATTGGTAATAAATGGAAGATTTCCCATTATCCAAATAGTACATATTGTATGTGCTTTAGCTATTCTCACCTTCTTAGCACACAAAGGAAGGCTTCTCCAAGAAAACACATTTCCTTATCTCTTCCAGGCCCTTCTCAAGTCACTCAATCTCTTTACCTGTTCCTTATTTGCCTTTTTTTCTTTTTCTCCTTCATACCCCACTAATCCCTACTACCACTACCCCCTTATCCAGAAAACTATCTGGCAGCAACCACATACCCTGCAGCCCATAACTGAAATTTCTAAATAATACAATTCCAAGTACCTATCCCCATTTTCAATCCGTCTTCATCACACCAGAAATGTACAAACTAACCAATTTTGTGTTGTCAGCTGACTCATCTTGTTTGTGTACACCTGCTCAGAACACTTGAATAACATTAGCATGTGCCGCACTGCCCAGGCTCTGCAATATTGACCCCATAGTTGGAAACAACAACTGGCAAATCTCTACGGTCTATCCAACCTGTTGCATTCAATAAAAACCGAAGGAACTGTGGATGCCATAAATCAGGAACAAAAACAGAAGTTGCTGGAAAAGCTCAGCAGGCCTGGCAGCATCTGTGAAGAAAAGATCAGAGTTAACATTTCGGGTCCAGTGACCCTTCCTCAAAACCCAAGATCCATCACCAGACCCGAAAAGTAAAATCTGATTTTTCTTCACAGATGCTGCCAGACCTGCTGAACTTTTCCAGCAACTTCTGTTTTTGTTGTTGTTGCATACGATGACTGATTCCTTGTTTATCACAGTATAAACTCTCCTGGTCACACACAGATCATGTGAATCTCCTGGGAGAGAAGCAAAAACCAGGAGATAAATTATCTGGAAAATTTCTTCCTTCCTGACCTTTTTTTTTGTGTGGTCAAAACTAATTCCTGAAGTTACCCCAGCCCTGGTCATTCTAAGCAATACCTACCTTGGTCAGATGACCTCCTTCCCAGCCAGAAAGAGATTTAATTCTTTCCTGAAGAAATTTAGCAGATCCGTACTCAGCAGCTGAGCAGACAGCTGGGTTCTCCATTCTCCAGGAGAGGAGCCATCTTCCAACATCCAGTTTAACTTCAGCCTTGTATTGCTTACAATTGAGACCACTGGTCCTCAATAGCCTTCTTTCCAGCTCTGGTGTCAAACAAGCATTGCCACAAACACCTCTTTCCACAAAGCACAGGCTATATGCTCATATCCCTAATACTAATTCGGCTGTGCCTCCTTCTCCATTTTTCTTGTAAGGGAAACATCCAGGTCAAACTTCTTCAGGTCCAAATTTCTTTTTGAATCACCTGGCTTCCTTCAAAGCCCTTTTCCTGCTGGATTATTCGCCTAAATCCTGTAAGGATGTTCTGCCTAAGGCATTTTAACCCATTTAGTGTCTTTGATGATGTTTGTCTTGCTTCTCAAAATGAGAATTCCCTCCCTCACGCCCATCCCCACCCACAGCCTAACCAGGACATTACAAGCATAATTTGATTTGTACAGCTTACAAGTATCTGATATCAGTCACTCAGAATGGCGGTTTACTGTGGGGGTTAGCTTTGCTATATTTCAGTAGCTGGAAGTCTTGCTTTTCCTCAACTTTCTAGCCTCTATGATTAACATCTGAATGGTGTGGCGGTGGTGTTATATAGCACACGATGGATTGATTATGGATCATTATTTTCTCTTAATCTGTCCTAATTGTGTAATATTGAAATTCTAACCTAATACGACGATGTTTCAAATTGTACCATCGCATTTAGACATATGAGGAGGATGACGCAGAACAAGCAACATTTGTCCCAATGCAGGTAGCAGGGAATTCTACATCAGATCCTCCAGAAGATAAACGCACAAGGCCTCTTGGATGCAGTCTTCAGGAAAATTCAGTGGAAGACAAAATCTTCTGATTAGCACAAGGCACTCCCAAAGATGTGAACTACACAAATATGTTAAAAACAGATTAACAGAATTCTAAAAATACAATTTTAGTAATATTTCATATTTAATTTATTGATGATGATGCAACAATTATCATCTCAAAGAGTAAAGGCTTAGAAAAATATATTTATCAGAAACTTATAATAATAAGCATTATATTGTTATGATCCCAGACTGGGCCATTGAAATTATGTTCTGATCTGGCTAGGGAAAATTAGCCTTTTTTTAAGTAGACAAAGTGAGATTTCAGCCACTTAGTGAGAGAATAAATCCTCCAAATTTTGTGGTTTTGGAAAATAAAACACATTATACTTGGTTAGAAAAGTGAAACAATTTACAGTAGCAATACAATTTACATTCTGCCTTCATGAATTAAAGCAAAAAGTAAATTTTGGTAACAGACAAACTGTGGTCAGACATCACCACAAAACACATCAAATAACAAACCTGTTAAGTTACTGCTAAACCTGGAAGAAACCTTTCACTTGCTGTATCTTGCCAGGAAGGAAGCTGAAACTTTGTTTCGTTATTTTTATAGAAGAGATACAGGACTTACAAATTGGTCATTTTGAACTTTAAGTGAAAAGGAGTTAAGTCTGCCTCCTGGTTATTTAAATTGGAGATCCATACTCATGTAAATGTATTGCAGTTGGTCATCTGATTGCTGTACAATCTAGTACTGTCTAACCTTCACTGAGGATTCTTTTATGAGCAGTTATTGATCATAGAATCCCTTCAGTACAGAAAGAGGCCATTTTCCCCAACAACTCTGCACTGACTATCTGAAGGGTATCCCACCCAGATCCAGCCCCTAACTATAAACCCATAACTCTGCATTTACCATGGCTAAACTATCTAGCCTGCACATCCCTGGAAACTACGGGGCGATTTTTAGCATGACCAATACACCAAGGAAATACATCTTATCGAAAAGATAGGCAGGTGGGCAGAGGAGGTAGGGTTGCCTTATTAGTAAGAAATGAAATTAAGTCCATAGTAAGATATGAAGTAGGGTCAGACAGTGTAGAATCTGTGTGAGGAACTGCGGAGGTAAAAAAACACCATAGTTGGAATTATGCACAGGCCGCCAAATAGTAGTCAGGAGCTGGGGTGTAAGATACACCAGGAGATAGAAAAGGTGTGTAAGAAAGGCATACTTACAGTGATCATGGGGAGTTTCCATATGCAGGTGGACTGGGAAAATCAGGTTGGTAGTGGATTGCAAGAAAAGGAATTTGTGGAATGTCTAATGATGGCTTTTTGGACCAGCTTGTGCTGGAGCCCACTAGGGAACACGTAATATTGGATTTAGTGTTGCGCAATGAGGTAGACTTGATGAGGGAGCTTAAGGTGAAGGAACCTTGAGGGAGCAGTGATCGTAATATGATTGAATTTACTCTGCAATTTAAGAGGGAGAAGATAGAAATCAGAGGTGAATAAAGACAACTACAGAGGTATAAGGGAGGACCTGGGCAGAATTGACTTGGAGAGGAGCCTAGCAGGAAAGACAGTGAAACAGCAATGGCAGGAATTTCTAGGAGTAATTCAGGAGACACAGCAAAAATTCATCCCTAGGTAAAATGAGCATGGTACAGGGAGGATGAGGCAACCATGGCTGACTAGGGAAGTCAGGGATAGCATAAAAGCAAAAGAGAAAGCATATAATGTGGTGAAGGGCAGTGGGAAACCAGAGGATTGGGAAGCTTACAAAGACCAACAGAGGGCAACCAAATAAGAAATAAGGAGAGAGTAGATTAAATATGAGGGTAAGCTCGCCAGTAACATAAAGGATGACTGTAAGAATTTCTTTAGATATATAAAGGGCAAAAGAGAGGCAAAAGTGGACATTGGACCGCTGGAAAATTACGCTGGAGAGTAGTGGGGAACAAGGAAATGGCTGAGGAATGGATTAATTACCTTGTGTCAGTCTTCACAGTGGAAGACACGAGTAATATCCCAAAAATTCTAGAGATTCGGGAGGCAGAGCTGAGTGTGGTGGCCATTTCCAAGGAGAAGGTGCTAGAAAAACTGAATGGCCTGAAGGTGGATAAGTCACCAGGACCAGATGGACTACACCCCAGAGATAGCTGAAGAGATAGTGGAGGTGTTAGTGGTGTTCCACAAGGGTCAGTGTTGGGACCACAACTTTTCACTTTATACATTAATGATCTAGATGAAAGAGATAGATAGGTTCTTGATTGTCAAGGGGATCAAGGGCTACAGGGAGAAAGCAGGATTGAGAAACTTATAGCCATGATTGAATGGCAGAGCAGACTCAATGGGCTGAATGACCTAATTTCTCCTCCTATGTCTTATGGTCTAACCTGCACATATTTGGACTATGGGAGGAAACACCCAAGGCTGGAATTGAACTCAGGTGCCCAATGCTGTGGGGCAACAGTGCTAACCACTGGGCCACAATGCCAAGCTAGTGTTTAGTACAGTGCTGCAACCATGATGTGCTGTGGCCTGATACACTAATGATCTGCTGTTATCACACTGTGATACTAATGTTAGCCCCCACAAAATAAATGTGAGGTGGATCACACAATACTGAAAAATTCATTGAACTTTTATTATAACACCTGGTATTTGCAGTATGCTTCACTCAGAATGTCATGCTGCAAGAGGTCAGAAATCACACAACACCAGGTTATAGTCCAACAGGTTTATTTGAAAACACAAGCTTTCGGAACCTCAGTCCTTCTTCAGTTGTTACTAACAGGACCGAGGCTCCAAAAGCTTGTGTGTTCAAATAAACCTGTTGGACTATAACTTGGTGTCATGTGTTTTCTGATCTTGTCCACCCCAGTCCAACAGCGGCACCTCCACATTGTGCTGCACGAGAACAGAGCTCAGTAAGATGGAGGCTGAAAGATTTATAGCATGAGTTCACGCACCATGATATGACGATGACACAGAAGTATGTCCCTTAAAGGTAAATCGCACATCAGTTGCAAGACATAATACAACAGATTGCATAAAAGTGATCAGTCAGAGGGATTTAGAACAGGCACATAAACAAGTGGCAGATGAATTGCAGCTTATAGATAGGGAATCCTGGAGGATTTTATAACAAACTGAAATTGACATAGATGGGAATGAAGGTTTTGAAAGTTGACTGGCCAGGGTGGAAAAAATGGAAGTGATGTTACAGAGGTAGAAGCACTCAGCTTTTGTGATGAAAAAGGGTTTAGGCCTGAAAGTTCATCTTAGGGTCTCCTAGAATACTGAGGGTTGGGAATAGTTCCATTCAACCTGAAATATTGTCTGAGTAGACAAGAAGAAGGCTTTCATCTTCCCAATGCTTCAGTGGAAAATAAATTCCCGTAAAACTGGATGGAAATGCACACACATGCCATTAAATCACTTATCTCACAATGCAGGACCACACAGGAGTGTCAGCTTAGATTGTGCGCTCAAATGCTAGTGTATATTTGAACTTCTCATTGAAGAGGCAAAAGATTAATAGATAAATGCAAACTATTGATTGTAATAGCTCCTAGTTTATTTATTATAGAAAGACACGAACTATTATTTACAAGAACTTGCACATATTCTACACTGTTAAACTAATCATAGAACCAGCAGAAGCAGTATCAAAATGTATTTGATGTTCGTCATAGGTGATTGAGTTATTTGACAATTTTTCTTTTATTTGTTGACAATTTGCATGATAAATTATATGTAAATATACCAGTTCCTGTAAAATATTGCTATATCTTCATTTAATAAATTCACTGACACCAAACAATGAAATATATTTATTCAATACTTAATTGTGAATCGTGATTTTAAAATGTGTGTGCCCACTGATAACTCTATTTGTTCAATTAGTGTTCCATTACATCTAGTACATTCATGAATTAAATTTGATCATAAAGCGTGTTCTTTGTACAGATATATATTTAGCAGCGATCCACAACTACTGTCTCTCAGGCATTTTGTTAAAATAACAAAATCTTATATTAAAAAAAAGTTCATTCCATACAAAAATTAAATGAACTTATCGCGCCACAAGAAGTGTCTCAGATTGACAAGTCAAACTTTAGACATTTCATAGAGTCTTGGAATTAGGAAGAGCTGGAACTGCAGCCAGATTTCTTCATCTCTACAGGTTATTGCACTGCCACCTATTGGGCATCTACATGAAAAAAACAAGTTTAATACGTAGCATAATTTTGTGGTGAAAGTTCTTTTTAAAAGGCCTCAAGAACTTTTGTATGTACAAATCAATCAGCCTCAGGGCCATCCAAAACAGCAGTCTATTAAATTTGTATTCATTTATAGAGTGGCACTGGATTTAACCTGGTTCAGCTGGCGGCTTGTTCTCAGAACATTATGGATCAAAGCCCCAACCCACCACTGCAAGATCACAATGTAGGCCGTTAGGTGAAGAAATGAGAGCACATTGTCATTTGAAAGAGATGCTAAACTGAGGTCCTCTCTGTCTATTCATGTGGATGTTTAAGATCGTATAACAGTCTCTGAAGAAATGCAGAGAGTTCTCCCACTGTCTGGCCAAAGTTTCTCCCTCGCCAACACCACTTGAACATTATAAGTAATCACTCAGTTCCTTGTTGTTTGTGGAACCATGATATGTATAAGTTAACCATCACAAATTAATGTGAACACAGGTCAAAAAATGCTGCAGAACTTTTCTTAGAAATGTGCTGAAGTATCATTTAAATTCAAGCTTTTTTAACTTTGCATATTTAAAACCATTTGGGAGTAATTTTAATTTTGTCTTGGCGCAAAATAGGTAAAAGCAGATCACCAGAATGTTTTGTACCTCTCCTGAATTTTATTCCCATTGAGGTCAGTTGAAAACCCTTTAATAATGTGTTCTTCTCCAACACCGCAGCAAAGACAGTGTATGAGAGCAGTTCAGACTCGGACAAAAGTCCAGATGTTATTGTATCCATTAAAAGTCATTTTACACTGCTGAAAGATAGTATGTTTATTGTTCATTTCTCAAAGTAAACAGTTTTATAACAATAAATTGTCCTAGACTAAGTGGATCCTGTTTTCATCTGAAATTACGGCATTAAATCAATCTTCTTTTCATTCACCCAATGCACAAATATAAAGAGTATCGATGCTTGTTCTATTTCGAGAAGTTAAGGAATAACTACAAATAGGACTCACCTGAGAGCCAGGTTGGGAGTGAGGCCTACACTCTCAAAGAAGAGCCTGTTTTGTTTCTATGGAGGTCTTTGCTACCTTCCAAAGTTGAGGAAGCTGGGGGAGCAAGCACACACTTCTACGTTCTTAGAATTTCAACACTCTCCCGCCTCCCACAGAACCAGCTGCCCCTGCTGTAAACTGAAACCCGAAGGATCAGCTCATGGCTGTAGCTGTGCCCTCAATGGTTTAAGTGGGCACCATTGCCAGGTTGTTCAAGGGACTTCCTACTAAACCCCTTTATCTTTGGTAGGACGAGTAGCAAACAATCTCCAAAAAATATCATAAATCCATACATCTTATGGGGGCTATTACATTTACTTACAGATTACTATGGAAGGCATGAGGTAGACATAATATCTGCAAACCCAAAGTTCTAAGAACACATTTGATCTAATCTTCTGCAAACGTCTCTCCGTAAATCTATTTGAGTTGTTCAACATTGCAAGTCAAGTTAGCGCTGCGTTACCTGACATGAAATATAATCTATTTGTACTTATCATCTTAATAGCTGTAAAGAGAACACTTGTCCTCCGAACAAATCTGCATTATAGCCAGCCAACTGTAGGTCGTCATTGTCCTCATAAATGGTAGGTGCAATATGAGGAGTACACATTTTGTAATTGGAACCATAAAACTGAATATATGTTAAAACGAATGTCCTAACCCTCTTGATGAACTCAATAATCCACAAAGTTAAATGCATGTCATAAGATGTTGAACAAGTAATTACCTCAAGCAGGGGAGGAAATCTGATCAGCTCTGACATGCACGTGATTCATTCTCCCACTCTGAAGTTCAGAAAGTTGTAGTGGAACAGCGAAAGATTAGATTAAATGTGTTCTTAGAACTTTGGGTTTCCAGATACCATGTCTACCTCATGTTTTCCATAGTAATCTGTATGCAAAGTTGTAGTGTTACAGCGAAAGAGGGGTTAGGGTCCATTAGGTTTTTGGCTAGACAGCCAGCATATAGATTGGGGTTCACGGGGTTCAATTCCTGTTCCAGTTGAAGGACACCAGGGACCTGCCACCTCGTCCTACATGACATCTGGCCATGGTTCAGCAAATAATCACTGAAGACCTTCCTTTGAGCTAAGAACTAAGGAAGTGCCGATGACAGGGAAAGGCCATTGAGAATGGGACAAAGTGAATTTCTGTTGCAGGGAGTCAGAGTGGATTTGACGGCAAAATGGACTTCTGTGTTATAACCCATTTTCTAATTCTATGTGCTGCCATCTGTATCCATTGAATTTTTCTTTTCAACAGTACTACCTCACTTAAATTCTGTGCTGACCTGAAGATTTGTCCTTTATCTCATCCATCATTTTAACAAAAAAAGACATTTTGTCATTTCAGATGTCAGGATCACCATAGAGTTCTAAAGAAAGGCAAACATTGAAATATGAACTTGCCCCTTTACTTTCCGAACATTCTGCCCGAGTTGCTGAATGTTTGTACAATTTTCTGCTGTTATCTTGATATGTGGTGTGATATTCTTTACAATACATCTTTACAATTCAAAATTCATTAAACTCTAAATTTATTTATGAAGTTAAGTAAAGACCTGCAGTCTGGAATTGTTCACCCGTGATACTGGAAATGTATAACTATTATAAACCTTCATTGCCACTGTTTATACATCATTTATTAAGATTAAAAATCCAACTAAAATATAAGCAGTTCAAGACTTTATTAAAAAGATCGCCAACAGTTTTGCAGAAAGCAGGTAAAACAAATGATATTCATGGGGCTTTGAAGATTTTGTTGATAATGTTTGAATACTTAATTTTGCCTTCCATGTTTTCATCATATTTTGACATCATGTGATAAATTTCATCTTCATCCAAAACTATGTTGCAGAGTCGAAGAACAGATCGAAATTCAGGCAGTGTGAGAAATCCAGTGCTGGTAAAATCCAATTTTCTACACACCTTTTCCAATATTTTCCAGTTACCAGCTAACTACAGGGGATAATTAAAAGAACAATGGAATCTCAGAAGCATCTAATTCAGTCACTATAATTGGCAATATTATGAGATCAACAAAATTAGCATCCTATAAAATCAGCAGTGCTTTCAATATGTTAGCACATACTTCAACATTGAATAACTGAATATACTAACACCGTACCTTAAAGCTGAAGAAATGTTAAACCAGGTATTATCATCAACTACTGATTGCCCAGATCTGACTTTTTTATCAGATCACTAACAGTTGTAGTTTTTCTTTTAAGCTCTACAATGATACCTTTATATTTTTACCTGAAGAACAAAATGTCTACAATAGCACGTGACTAAAAAAAAAGAGATGGCTGCAGTAAAGCTAACGTCAAGTATCAATTTGTAATATGGGTATATGCAAGTATAATGTGACTCTTGAAAAATCAAAGTTACAAATTCAAATTATTGTTTATAAATGCAATGATGATTTTATGCTGAATTGTCAGATTTAATTTAAGCAGCAGAAAAAGTACAATTTGTGCCACATTCACAAATGCCAGTTGAGGGGAAACATAAGCTCTTCAATCCCAAACAAGTCACACCTAACCACACTTTCGTGTGTGTAGCTGTAAAATGGAGGCAGGTCAGACTTAACTGGGTCCCTTTCTCTCAGTCAATAAATCACAATGTATAGAATTACCATTTAAACAGAATCCTCACCATTCAGAGAACATATCCCAGTGATCGCAGTATTGTATTCAAGTAAGACATACTGGTAAAGATATTAAAGTCAGTCAAAAGAAATGAAAAATGGAATTGCAGGTAGATAGTGAAGAAGGCATTTGGTACGCTTACCTTTATTGGTCAGTGCATTGAGTATAGGAGTTGGGAGGTCATGTTGCGGCTGTACAGGACATTGGTTAGGCCACATTTGGAATACTTTGTGTCAATTCTGGTGTTCCTGCTATAGGAGGGATGTTGTGGAACTTGAAAGGGTTCAGAAAAGATTTACAAGGATGTTGCCAGGATTGGAGGGTTTGAGCATTGTGAGAGGCTGAATAGGCTGGGGCAATTTTCCCTGGAGCGTTGGAGGCTAAGGGGTAACGTTATAAAGGTTTATAAAATCAGAAGGGACGTGGTTAGGGTAAATAGCTAAGGTCTTTTCCCCAGGGTATGGAAGTTCAAAACTAGAGGGCATAGGTTTAACGTAAGAGGGTAAAGATTTAAAAGGGATCTAAGGGGCAACTTTTTCACGCAGAGGGTGGTGTGTGTATGGAATGAGCTGCCAGAGGAAGTGGTGGAGGCTGGTACAATTACAACATTTAAAATGCATCTGGATGGATATATGAAGAGGAAGAGTTAAGAGGGATATGGGCCAAATGCTGGAAAATGGGACTAGATTTGTTTGGAATCTCTGGTCAGCATGGATGAGTTGGACTGAAGGGTCTGTTTCCATGCTGTTCAACTCTGACTCTATGAAAATAGAAGTAAAATAGCAAATTGATGTTTGTAAGTGAAGATTTCTGTACAGTACTCACTAGAATATTGCATTTCCACTTTAAGAGGTAAAGACAAATTGGATACCCAAGTGCTTTGATTAGTTTTTACAACATGCTAGTCACAGATATATCCATTTGTTCATGCATCTAAATAAGTATTCTAAATTGCCTTCAACTTCACACATCAGGGAATGTAAATGAAATCAGCATGGGACAGGATGTTGAATTTTGCTAATCTGCTCCTGCAATTTTCATTATATTGTGAAGATCATAAACACAGTGAAGTTATAACTGTAAGTGTGAAGAATTACCCTGCATTTTGTATTCTATGGCATAACTCATTAGGGGTTAGCAATATACCCTGGGAGGTGGAGCTCACACAGTAGATAGTATCACGTTATACATCAGTTATACACAATGTCTCATATTTAATTCCACTGACTGCCTAAGATAAATTTTCAACCCTAGATCAGATTTGAAAGTAATGAACCTGATATAATATCTTTCTTGAATCTGGACTGATAGTTGGTGTTCTCTACAATTTAGTGATTCCAACTTCAACTCCAAGCAAATTGCAACACAAACCCAGCACTTACTGTGAATCTGTTATTTATATTTTGTTTGTCACAAGTTAAAGTTCAATATTAGCTGCATCCTCCAGTGAACCACTCTGTGAATCTTTCTATTACCTTTCTTCTCAGTTTCTCTGTGATCATGTTCAGACCTTTATGCATGGTTTCTGTGTATATCGTGATCTCTGGTTGATGTTTTTGGTTTGGAGTTTTCAAATTCTTAAACCTGACTGCTCTCCTTCGATCTTCAAATGGCTGAAGGAACTCGAGATATGAAATCCTAAACAAAACACATTCCATTGTTTCAGAGAAAATTTATCTCTAAATTATGACAATGCACAAGTTTAAAGTACATTTTGGACCAGTAAGCAGCACTCGATCAGGAAGAAGAGATCACATCCAGAGTGAGACACAGCCCAAATGGGCTGAGGAGTGGCAGATGGAGTTTAATTTGGATAAATGCAAGGTATTACATTTTGGTAAAACAGACAAGGACAGGACTTGGTAGGGCCCTGGATAGTGAGACTCAGGTGTTCAGGTATATAATTCTTTGAAAGTTCTGTCACAAGTAGACATGATGGTTAAGAAGGCATTCAGCATGCTTGCCTTCTTTGCTCATAACACTGAGTATAGGAGTTAAGACGTCATGTTGAGGTTGTACAGGACATTGTTGAGGCCACTTTTGGAATACTGTGTACAGTTCTGGTTATCCTGCTATAGGAAGGATAGTATTAAATTGGGGAGGGTTCAGAAAAGATTTGCCAGGATGTTGCCTGGACTGGGGAGCTTGAGTTAAAAGGAGAGGCTGGATTGGCTGGGACTTTTTTCGCTGGAGCATTGGAGTTTGAGGGGTGACCTTATTAAGGTTTGTAAAAGCATGACGGGCATAAATTAGGTGAATAGCAAAGGACTTTTCCCTAAGGAGAAGGAGTTCAAAACTAGGGGGCATTTTTTTAAGGTGAGAGGAGAAAGATTGAAAAATGACCTCAGGGGCAGCTTTTTCATACAGAGGGTGGTTCATTAGAGGAGTGAGAGAATGTGAGTGTGTGAGGGTGTGTGTGAGTATGTGTGTGTGTGAGAGAGTGTGTGAGAGAGTGTGAATGTTAGAGAGAGAGAGTGTGACAGAGTGTGTATGTTCCATGGAAAATTATCAAAAAAGGTTAAAACGGGTTGGGTTCAGCAGAAGGTATTAAAGTTTCCAGAACAATTAACAGGACAGGAGAGTATGGAAAGGGTCAGGAATTTAACTTCAGGCACAGCGATAAAGTGGTAACAATGAGACTAGAGGCAGTCAATGCGGGGCTGAGGGTGTTGTACTTAAATGCATGCAATATACGAAACAAGGTAAATTAGCTTGTTTGAAATTGGTGGGTATGATGTCATAGGTATCACTAAGACATGACTGCAAATGGATCACATCCTACCGAAAGGAAAGGTGGATGGTCAGAGGGGGAAAGGTTGGAGGAACACAGCAGACTAGGCAGCATCAGAAGAACAGGAAACTTGATGTTTCGGGTTGGGACCCTTCTTCAGAAATGTGTTCCTCCAGCTCCACACTGTGTTGTGTCTGACTCCAGCATCTGCAGTTCTTGCTATCTCGGAAGAGAAAAGTTGTCTGGTTAGTAATAAATAAAATAAATCAATAGCATGAAATGATATAGAGTTGGAAGGCGTAGAATCTGTGTGGGGAAAGTTGAGGAACTGCAAAGAAAAAAAGACCCTGATGGGAGTTATGTGCAGGCCTCCTAACGTTAGTCAGGATGTTGGAAAAAAAAATAATTTAGGAGATAGAGAAAGCATGTAAGAAAGGAACTATTACTATAATTATGGGGGACTTCAAAGTGCAGATGGACTGGGAAAATCAGGTTGGTAGTGGATCCCAAGTAAAGGAATTTGTGCAATGTCTGTAAGATGGTTTTTCGGAACAGCTTGTGGCAGAACCCACGAAGGAACAGGCAATTCTGAATTTGGTAATGCGTAATGAACCAGACTTGATTAAGGAGCTGAAGGTGCAGGAACCCTTATGGGGCAGTTACGATAATATGATAGAATTCAACCTGCAGTTGACAGGGAGAAGCTGGAGTCAGATATCATGGTATTACAGCTGAGTAATGGTAACTACAAAGACATGAGGGAAGAGCTGGCCAGAATGGATTGGAAGGGGAGCCTAGCAGGGAAGACAGTGGAGCAGCAATGACAGGAGTTTCTGGAAGTAACTTAGAAGGCACAGCAGAAGGAAGAAGAAACATACTAAGGGGAGAACAAGGTAAAAATGACTGACAAGGGAAGTCGGGGACAGCATAAAAGCAAAAGAAAAAGCATACAATGTGGGAAAGGTTAGTGGGAAGCCAAAGGATTAGGAAGCCTTGACAAACCAGTAGAGAATAACTAAAAAAGCAATGAGGAGGGAGAAGTTGAAATATAAGGGTAAGCTAGCTAGCACTATAAAAGAAGATTGCAAGAGTCTTTTTAAATATTTAAAGGTGAGAGAGGGAAGAGTCGACATTGGATCGCTGGAGAGTGAGGCTGGAGAAGTAGTAATGGGGAACAAAGAAACAGCAAAGAAACTGAATAGGTACTTTGCATCAGTCTTCACAGTGGAAGAGATTAGCAGCATACCAAAACATCAATGCAGCCAGGAAGCAGAGGTGAGTGGTGTGCCTATCATTAAGGGGATGGTGTTGGGAAGCTGATCAGTCTGTAGGCAGATAAATCACCCAGACCAGATGGATTACATCCTAGAGTTCTGAAGGAGATAGCTGAGCAGATTATGGAGGCATTGGTGTTGATTTTTCAGGAATCACTGGAATTAAGGAAGGTCCCAGAGGACTGGAAAATGGCTAATGTAACAGTCCTGTTTAAGAAGGGAGGAAGGCAGAAAACAGGAAATTATAGGTCAGTTGACCTGACCTCGGTCGTTAGTGAGCTTTTAGGAGTCCATTATTAAGCATGAGATTGTGGAGTACTTAGAAGTGCATGGTAAAGTAGGGCTGAGTCAGCATGGCATTGTCAAGGGGATGTCATGCCTGACAAATCTGTTGGAATTCTTTGACAAGGTAATGAGCAAGTTAGACAAAGAAAAGCCAGTAGGTGTGATCTCTTTGAATTTCCAAAAGGCCTTTGACAAAGTGCCGCACAGGAGGCTGCTAAATAAGGTAACAGCCTATGGTGTTGGGGACAAGGTACTGGCATGGATAGAGGATTGGCTGACTGGCAGAAAGCAAAGGGTAGGGATAAATGGTATTTTTCGGGATGTCTGCCGCTGCGACTGAAGGGTGGCAGTCAACTAGTACCTGATTAAGGCCACCTGGAGCACAGGATGGCCTTGTTCAAAGTTGGTCAATTCAAGACCTTCCTTCCTTCAGGTGGAAAGCTCCCATACCCATAAAATCCAGCTCCATCTGAGCTATATAAGGTAAGCAATATAGGCTTTTCCTGATGCTTGATCGTTGCAATGGTTTCTCTTCCTACTCCCACACTGTTATTTCTGGTAGTCCCAGCATCTCTCCTTGATCCCCGGTTTCTCATGCACATGCTACCTTTGATGACATCATGCAAAAGTACAGCGTTAGTTTTCACAGCCACCTCACCACTATCTTTCTTAACTCCTCCATCATCACTATATTCTCAGATTGCATATCAGACCTCCAGCACTGAATGAGCAGGAATTTACTCCATTTGAACATCTGGAAGAGAGAAGCCCCTGTTTTCAACCCTTCCTCCAAACTTAATTCCCTGCTATTTATTATGTACTCATCTTTAGCAACAATCTAACTAAAGCAATCTGTTTTCAACCTCATATCTGACTCTGACAGGAGCTTCTGACCACACATTTCCAGTATCATTGAGGTAATCTATTTCTATCTCAGTGACATTGCTCTACTTCACCCCACTTAGTACATCTACCACTGAAACCTTCAGTTATGCCCTTTTATTAAACTTCTGTCTATCTATCTTTTCTCTAGTGTTTGTTTCCAAAGATTCTGAATGACTTCAGAACATTAATCAGGAAACTCTCCCATTCTTACCATCTGCCAACAGGCATATTGGAAGGATTTACAGACTGACAATCGACACTTGTTTGAACACAGCATGAATGCACATTCTGTTGCCAACAAGTCCTGGCATGGGACCTGAACCTTTCTGGCCTAAAGATAAGGACACTATAACTCTGCCATCAGACTTCTCTTGCTATCACTAGACTTCAGAGTTCTCACACATTCTACTCTCTACTATCTTGTGATCACTCAAAATTCTGCTACTCGTGTCTCAGGTCATACCAAATATTTGTAACCTGTCATCCTCTGTACTCACTGACTACATTGTGTCCTGATCAACAATATTTTGATTTAAACATTCCTGTTCATAATTTGTAATCCATCCCTGGCTTCGCTCTTTTTTTTCACGTCCAGCCCCACAAGTTTCCAAGGCATATAGACTCATCTAATTCTGACCTACTCAGCATCCCTGATTTTAATTACAGCATCATTAGCTTACACTCCATCAATTATTAGGCCCTTATCTCTAGAATTCCCTTGCTGCAACTCTTCACCTTTTACTTTCCTTCTTTAAGACACAACTTAAAGCTACATCTTTGACTTGGTTGTGGACCATCTCTCCTAACCACCCATATCGTGCAGTTTCATATTTTGTTTTCTTGTGCTTCTGTGATACACTTTGGGACGTTTCTTTACATTAAAGTTACTATATAAATGTAAGTAGCAGTTGATGTTTTAACCTTTCTTTCACAAGAAAGCAAGGTAAATTTTGTAATGCTGGCATGTCTATTTTGTCTCACCATTTTCATCATATTTCCCTCCACCCCGGGTCAGCACATTTCAAGTATCAGATTAAGAATGCATATCCTGCTGACATTCTGGAATCTGCCCAACAAATTAGTATTTGAGCCTCAGTCATAAAGTTGTTGTATGTAACTTTGTGCCTGTAAATGCATATCCTACTACTGCATGGAAAACACATTAATGCATCTGGGTTATCCCAAAATAGGTCATTATACATCCTTTATCGATCCTTATTCATCTCTGCATCACACAATCAGGATTTAACAGGGTAAGGCAGGGAGGAAATCAATTTTTAAAAAAAGACAATTGGGCACTAACTAACCGGTTCTTCTCATGGGTAAACCTATTGGCGATAATCTCACAGGTCTGATCATTCAGCTCCTCACATACATCCATAAGAACGTCTTTGAATTCCTCTTTGCTAACAAAGCCCGTGTTAGATTGATCCAACTCACGAAAATTTGTCCAGAGGTCATCTAGCATGAGCTTAACCTACAAGATAACACCAGAGTAATCAATAAAAATGGAAAATCAGTGATAAGACAACCAACTGGCTTGATGTACACACATGCGACAGAATAATCTATAAAATATGAAAGGATATTGGATTGGACAGCAGCAGTATTGTTTTTAGTAAAGGATTTTTCTTTTTTGCTTTCTTCTAATTTTATTTTCTTACTTGTAATCAAAATAAAATGAGGTTAGTGACATTACTGATAGGTTTAAACTCTTATGGTGCAGTATGCCAACCAGCCCCACAAGCTTTCTCATCTAATTCTGGCCTGCTGAGCATCCGTGATGTTAATTACAGCATCACCGGCTGATACTCCATCAATTAAATGTGGAGAGAATCTTGTAGTATCTCAGTTGAAATGATAAGGATTGTAACTGGAATTCAGTTTTGTTTTAAATATTTCATCTTCGTGAACTCAACTCAGGAATATTTAAACAAAGAGCTAAGTCAAGTTGAAGTGCTTGAGAAACAGACTGACATTCTTGCACATTGATTCATAACGATTCAAAGAGCTAAGTCAAGTTGAAGTGCTTGAGAAACAGACTGACATTCTTGCACATTGATTCATAACGATTTCTACCAGGAGTTTTCAGGAACTCTTCCTGTTGATGCAATAAAGTGTCTCCTATTGGGCAAACTACAACTGGCTATATTTACTTTCTGGTAGGAAATTTTATGTAAAAGCTACAGGGGAGTTTTATGATGTTGCTTAATAGAGGCATTGTGTGCCTCTAGTGATAACGGAAATGAATGTTCAAGGTTATAGTGGGAACTGGGCAATGTAATTACCCACATTTTTGGAGTGTTACTGATATGTTTCTGACGAGTGGGAAAACCCTGAAATCCACTTCATTGTATCAGTGGAGGCAGCTACAGGGAGGGAATACAATAAAATACATGAAATCAGCTGCAGTTAAATATAAAGAATGCTTTTAAGATCTAGTGTGTGCAATGATTGGCAATGCCTATAGTTGGCATCAAAGGAGTGAATGAAAGACAAATTTTAGGTATAATTTATACATTATCTATATTTAGCCATATGAACTATTGTTTATATTTAAATATGTATTTATTTATAATATACAGGAGATCAGTTAGCTCAGCTGGCTGGACAGCAGATTTGCAACGCAGAGCAAAGCCAACAGTGTAGGTTCAATTTCCACACTGACTGAGGTTATAATGAAGGGCTCACCTTCTCGACCTCTCCCTTTGCCTGGGGTGTGGTGACCCTCAAGTTAAACCACCACAAGTCATCTCACCCTCCAAAAGAGACAGCAGCCCTATGGTCTGGTAAGACTATGGTGACCAATATATAGACCAAAACATTTTTCAAAATGAATTTTTATTGAGATGCAAATATTGCGATTTCTGGGTTACGGTAGCCAATTTTCACCAGGAATATCCCACAAACAACAATTGAATAAGCAACTGATTAGTTTTCTGTTATGAGCATGTCATGTTGGCCACAACGCCAGGAGAATTTCTTTGCTCTTCCTTGGCTAGAATAGCATCAAATGATATCTTATTTGCAACTAGAACAACTGTTTTAACAGGGAAAGGGGTTAGTTTTGCACCTTATCGCCAATTCATTAATGCATTACTCTAGTACTGTATTATTGTCAGCTTCGTGAGTTTTAGTCTTTGATCACAGGTATTCAAATTCACAAGTTTCTGGCCTTGAGGTGAAGACACCAATAACTAGCGTCATAGGAATGAAGTCTGAAATCTCATTTTCAGCCAAAGGTGATATTTCTTTATGAAAAGATAGATGTAGTTAGCTGAATAGTAAAGACAGGATACATCACCCAATGTTGTGCTGTATCCATTTTGCCCTACTCCTTATGCTGAATTTAATTTAAATGCAATTTAAATAAATATTAAATGTAAATGATGAATGAAAGTGCTGTCTGCTGATTTACCACTGACTATGAATATAAACATCATTTCTTGACTGAATAATTACTTAACCTTAGCTTGCAGATTGTCCTTAATGATTTCTGTGTCACAGTTTAACTTCCTAGATCGTACCAGGAAGTCACAGTCACCTTTAACGGGTGGATATGTTTTGGCATTTGGGTAACAAGCTGATTTAGGTGAAAATCCAAAGTGTCGAACAAATTCGTGGAAATTCAAAGTGTTATCTTGACTGGTAATTAAAGTGCTCCACAGTTTTTGGACATCATCTCTTGTGATTGGCGGGTGAATATCAAATCTGTATATGACAAGAGAAAGGTAACAGCATCTTCTGAGAAAAAGCTATTGTGACAATGAAAACACAATTATGTACATTTTAATGGGAAGAGCAAAAAATATTTCCTTAACTGCTTCAAAAGCTGATACATTGACTCAGGAGAAAATCGTCTGGTGTTCATCTTATCAAGTTTATTAAAGTTTTGTTCCACCATTTGGTATTGTTTCTTCACAAGATCCTGTATAATATTTGAGATCTAGAATAAAAGAAGTTATTCATAAGTGCTGGCAAGTTCCACTCCTTGTAGCCAATGAGTGAAGAATAAAACCTGAGCAGGTTTTAATTGACATTGATTTATTCACAGTGTGAACCAGTACAAGTGTCTAACTCCTAACTCGACTCACACCCTCTGTCAGTAAGTATCCCTATAATTGTTCTCAAGTAACCATTCAATTGCTGCTGTTAAGATAGTTTAAATCAATCTATTCAGAAGTTTCATGATACACCTCTGAAGCATGGGATTTGTACCCAGGTCTTTAGACTAAGAGGCAGGAACATTGTCACCTCCACCTGTATATACTTAGCCTCAAATGATACAATTGACAACCTGCACTTCTCAATAACTAGTAATTTATCTTCAATCCTAAATATTGAGGTTGGCATTTCATTGGAAACGCACCACCTAACATTAGGATGTGCATCTGAAAAAAGGGAATCTATAGTCAATGCAATGTCAAGATTCATCAAAATAACATTAACAGTAAAAGTAACTTAGCAAATTAAGTTTGTCTTGTCAATTCTCTTCAGTGACTCTCAACCATATTCCATTTTTTGAATCTACACTCCGATAACAATTTTCAGCAGGAGCATATAAAAGGAAATTGTGAGCATACACATTACAATTTTACACCTATTAATAAGCTTGTGGATCTTATCTAATTAATAAAAAAACTTGGATACTGGCCATACCGGAAAGTCCACTGGTTATAACGAATACGTCAAATGAGTTTTGAATCCATTAACATCATTCTGTCTGAAGATGATAGTGAAAAATTGGCACAGCACATCAAATACAAACATTTCAAGTGGAAAATAATATCTATTAATCTTTACCTGATCTGTTGTTCTTCCTGAACCATACTCTTGGTTTGTTGAATTTTCATTGCTGAAGTTTGTCATCATAGATTTGTCACACAAAAGACTCTTCGCACCTTTACTATTGTGCAATGAAGACAAATGAGACTTAGTACTTTTTAACTATTAGTCCATTTTAACTATTGGATATAATCATTTATAGTTACATCATAATTTATGTAAGCTGAGAATTAAAAATATTGCTGTTTGTCATAGATTCCTTTTAAATTTTTCTCCTTTCCTCAGATCAGCAACTTCCTGCAGCAAAGCAGTCCAGCACAACACTTTAGCAAGAAGAATATAAAAGCAGATAATTATTTAAATGGAGAACAACTGCAAAATTCCAATGTGTGGAAGGATCTAGGTGTTCAAATGCATGAGTCACAAGAATTTGGTATGCAGACAAAGTAAATGATTAAGAATGCTAATTGAATGTTATCCTTTATTACAAGGGGAATTGGACATAAAAGTAATAAAGCCATGCTTCAGTTAAACAGGGTATTGGTGAAACCACATCTCAAATATTGTGTGCAGTTTGGTCTCCTTACTTAAGGAAGATTGTTAGTGCAATGGAGGACTTCAGAGAAGATTTACTAGATTGGTATTTGGAATCAATGGGTTACATTTTATGATAAAAGATTGGACAAGCTGGACTTGTATTTCACTAGAGTTTGGAAGAGTGAGGGATGATTTGATTCAAGTTTATAAGATCCTGAATGGTCTTGACAAAGTGAACATGAAAAGGATGCTTTACTCTTGGGGATGAGTCCATAACGAAGGGACACTGTTTTAAAATTAGAGTTGTCCTTTTAGGACAGGAATGAGGGGAAATATTTTCACTCTGGGTGTTGGGTAACTTTGGAATATTACTTCAGAAGACGGGAGAGGTGGGATTATTGTTATTTTTTAGCCAGAGGAAGATAGATGTTTGATAGGCAAGGGAATCAACAGTTATCAGGGATAGATCAGATTGAGGAATTCAGAACATAAATAAATCAGTCTTGGTCTTAATAAGTAGTGTAATGGCCTTGAAGTCGAGGATAGCCTACTTCATTGTATGTTCGTATATTTACAAGGTGCAATATTTTTTTCAGCCAATTGGTGGCAGGGTTCCTCATCTGCATAGCTGTGAATAAAAATGTTTGTCTTTTGAGAAACATGAAACCAGCAAATTACTGAAAAAAATTCTCTCCTATGACGCCCTTAAAAAGAATGAGTATGTCAGACTCCATCGAAGGAAGGTCACTTGCAATTGTCAAGCTGAATGTTACAAATTGTCCCTCAATTGTACGTCTGTGTATCACATCTAAGATATTTTGAATGATATTGGCTATTAAACATGTTATAATGTAGCTTTTTGTCTACTTAGTATTTCTATACATTTTTAAATAATTCTAAAACTACATCAATATGTAAAATGCATTTAAGGCCTGGGATTTCTGTATTAAAGTACAGCTCATCTGCAGTAAGATTATGTGTACAAGTTATACAGAAGGCTGCCAATTTCAATCTTTCCTGCCAGTGGCTGACAGCTACACATCACCCCAAGACCCAATGTCTACAAAGATTATATCTTGTTACAACCTATCCCCAGGTGATGTTCCCCAATTTGTGACAATTCCAGACCAACTACTCCAAATCATTAATCTCCAGGTGTCTTTATTCACGTATTCCCTCATTTGGTCGTAACAAGATTAATTTAGAAATGATCCTCTCCCCATTGTGAATACCATTTTCCCCAAAGTGAAGAAATTTACATTTAATTAATTAATTAACAATAATTTAACCCTGCTTGACTTAATGAAAAAGAGTTTATTAATAACTAAACCCAATAATAAATAATAATACAACACATATACACAAATCAGATACAAGAATCCAATACAGAAAAAGATAGAAATTAATAGACCTACAGATCAGTTTCTGAGTTATTTGCAATGAGTAGATAGTGGATAATCAAGCAGTCAATTTCAAGATTCTTGACTTTACAGGTTAGCTGAAATTCTTTTGGCTCATTTAGTTTTGAACTGGCTTGCTAACTAGCTTCAAGCACCCCAAGCAATCAAACTATGACCTGCAATGCAGTTGTGACTGGTGGATAGTTCTTTGACTGTGACTTTCGCAGCACACCAGCACATACACCAAGCAAGTAAATGAGAGTATATATAGAGCAGGACCGAAACTCACTCTTAACCTCTGTACCTGTGTATTCCTGAAAGTGGAAAAGACAAACATCGCCTAGACTGCTGTCTTTTCTCCTGTCATGTTCCTAGTCTGAGATACTCGCAAGAGATTACAGTTCAGTTTGCAATGCACTTCTCCTTTTGAAGCTGCTTTGTCACTTTCAAACATTCTTAAATGCCTCTCCAGACCACCATTGGGTTTATATCCACAGTCATCTTTTGGTGTATCTCCTATTTTTAAAAAAAAGTATGTTGCAAGCAGTTTTTCAAAATGTCCAAAGGTGATTCAAAGTTGTGATCTGTGGTCACGACAATCTGATTTAAAGTTTTCAAGTTTTTGTAAATTTTGTTAGTTTTCTTAGGAAGAAAGCCTCTCTAGTTATGTGATAAGAATAACAGTAAGTAAATTGGAAAACATCTACTGATGTCCACAGAGGTGTAGGTGAACATAGAGATCTGGAAGCTGCTGTCAGAGGCGTAGTGAGAATATTCTGAGGTTGTTGAGAGATGTAAATCTGTGTTCATATTGCTGAATAACTTCCTTTATCAACTATTTACAAAGTGGGTAGGAGAGAGCATTCTTCAAACCTGCAGGATTGATCCTAACTTGAAACATCAGCAACATAACCGATGTTGTATACTATGCATGAGTTAAATATGACTTACTCATTCTCCCTCCCAAGCCTTTTACTCTGTTTTGTTAAATCATCATTATTGTTTAACCATCTACATTTCTCTTTACATATAACTACTAGCATTCCTCTCAGCGCAGCAAAGCTGGGGGGAGAAAATCTGACTCTGTCATCAGCCCGTCTTCAGGGAAGAACAAAGCTTTTGTCCAAAGGCAGAAGCTTGAGCTAACTGAGTGTATAAACTGACACCACAGAGGGCACTGCAGGTGCACCCACCATGAAGACCTAAAGGTAATGTCAATAAACACCTACACTGTGGAGTGTAGGAGATTGTGGAAAATAAAATAACTTGCTTCCTCTGGGAGACTATTACTGTAAAATATACTTTGCAGCAGTCCATTAACGTCCATTGAAATACATCCTAAGCCTCACAGTCAAAAGTTGAAAGTGAGGCTTTAGTCAAGATACAGTATCAGAAAGGAAAAACGCACCAGCTCCAGTAACCAATTTAATATGAGCCTTCTCGCCATTAACAAAAATATCAGAGTGCTGGCAGTCATCTTGAGGTCCAATAACTTCAGCCAGCAAAATTGTACCATTGCTTTCATTAGCATCTATGTCTAGGACACAATAAGCTGTTGCCATTTAGGTTTGCCAAGTTGTCCTGCTGTAGGGACTCCTGCTGTTCCTACAGATAATTCTGAAATGGCCTTTTTTGCTATGTGTGGATAAGTGCATGAGTAGTTTTCTTGCCAACAGGGTCATTTCCCATCTCACCATGAGAATGGAGCAATGAAGGCCATTGCATCATCTACCCACAGACTTTCAGTTCCTAAATGGCTGAGCTGGCTTGTCGTTAACAAACTGGACAGGCTCAGCTGTGGGCTCCCAGGGAAAATCTCTCTCAATGGAGAAGGAACTTGTCCCGCCTGTGGATTTCCTCTTGGCAGACTACTTTAACAGATGCAGTACTTCCCTAGACTTTAAGAGTTTGGATAGACCTTCATCTAGGACCCCAACTGCAATGCAGTTGAATAAGCTTGTCTCATCTCATAGGGTTCTAAAGCAGCTGTAAAATGCTAGCAAATAGAAATCATTTAAGAAAGAAACCACAGTGTATACTGTTTGTTGGCTGTGCCAACTGAACCTAGCATGGTCAACATCTGCGTATTGCCCTAGACTGAAATGGTTATCAAGATCCTTAATTAAGCTGACATATTTTGCCATTTCTTCCTCTATTCCAAGTTGGTCAAGAACTACGTCAGCAATGTATAAAAGTATATCAATTGGTGTTTACCAGTTCTGGAAGCAAGGCCTGAGGTATGATGCATTAGGGTAAACCATTGGTGCTAGCATCTTCACTCAGAGGGCTCATCTGAGCTAGCCTTTGCCTCAATGGCTCAGAGAGGGCAAGGGGCTTAATTATCATGAAAAGTACAGCTATGTTCTGCAACTGAGCAAGTATGGGTTAACTAGTTTGTGTTCAATCACCATGTAGTAACTTGCAAATTAATTTTTTGTTTGTCTCTTTCTATGACCTGGGCTGCGAGGTGGTTAAGCATTTTCCTGCTTCAAATCTTCTGCTATGTACTGGCCATCTGGCTGTTCAGTTCTTCAGATTGTCTCCCTTCATGACATCGACTAAGCTTGAGAGCAGCAGGTGAGTGCCTGTGTTTAGGGCTTTCCCTAAGGATAAACCTTGTTCCGTTGACTGCTTCAAATGTTACCATCATCAGTTAGAATGCTGGTAAAGTTTTACTGGTCAAGAAGTCCAAAACTGCTGGCAACATGTACATACTTAAATTGTAGAGAGAGGATAGTCTGTCCTCATACTGCTGAGCAAAATCTTCATCAACTATTTTCATTATATATATATATATATATATATATATAAAAGTTGGTAGGAGAGAACATCCTCAAAACCTTGTAGACTCAGTCCTCATTCCAAGTGTGTTCCTCCATCAGTAGACATCATTAATGATGAACACGATTCATTACCATAATATGATTTACCTAATGTCCTACAAGCTGCATTAGAAATGACTTTGAAATCCATACAGGGGTGTGACCTTGCTGCATGTCAGCAAGTATTTGGGCTGATGTATGCAGGGGTAAGTGAACTTTTCATGGCATGATAAGTCTTACATAGCATCTTCGTATTTTTTTAGCACTTAGGGAGAGATGGAAGACAAGGGAAGAGAAGGAAAGGAAAGAAAATGGAAAGAGAGTGAAGGGAAATGATCGGAGGAAGTGAAAGAGGAAATGAAGAGAAGGAAGGATGATATTCCATGGTCACTGACCACAAAATCCAGATGATTATATCAGTTTTTCACACACCAAAGCAGCTGTAGCGAACCAAACATACATTTCTGTATAATTATTGAGTATTGCAATCTTTCAGAATGCATATTACCCATCCCCTCCAGAGATAGTGAGCATCTATATTGATAATGAAAACACCTCTTTTATGAATATTCACACGTGAAGCCAAAAAACATGCTTATGATGGGCAGTTAACCCAATTTTCTCTGTGACTTATTTATCATTGTCTATTCAGGGCTACGCAGGTCTTTTTAGGTGAATTGATTAATGACTATTAGGAACTACACTATCTGACGGTGCTTGCTCATATCAACTCATTTCATCGTATACCTTTGGATTCAAATTGGAAAGAATTTGACATACAGCAAACTACAACAAAGAACTGCTTACCAGCTGTCAAATATGGACATGAACTCAAGATATTTTACATTGCCTTGGGCATCAAGTGGTATTCGGTTCTTCAGATAACTTACTTCTTCATCTGACATGTCAATGCCAAATCTTGGAGAATAAACAAAAAAAAAACAGAAAATAATCATAACCGAGTAATACTGATAAAAGATGTAGTTCCAAGTTCTTTAGAAAAGTTTACATCCCGTAGAATACTGCAAACAACACCAGTAATTTATGAGCATAGTGTGTCTACTTTACAGTATTTTAGAAATGTTTGTTTGCTGCAGATTTGCTGTAGATAATTTTTTCCAGCAAAGAACATGGTCATTGCTAGGATGAGATGTTGTTAGGTATCATACTAGAATTCAAAAAGCACACATTATCTAAAGGATTAATTTTTCTGTGACATTTTATAGCACAATGGAGTAGCACTCCTGACTCTGAGCCAGAAAGCCTATGACATGATGGCCAAATGTGTGGTCATAACACAGTCAAGTAAGTTAAATATCAGAGATAGTAGGAACTGCAGATGCTGGAGAATCCGAGACAACAAGGTGCAGGGCTGGATGAACACAGCAGGCCAAGCAGCAT